TTTTTTTTTTTTTTTCAGTGGCCCTTATCCTCTTACGTAGCTCAGACCCCCACATACCGGCAGTGCGCTGTCACTGAGAATCCCCAGCAGCAGCTGCTTCAGCGGTTTTCCTGTACGTAATCCAAACTGCAGGCACCAGGATGATAAAAGCAAACATATTTTTGCCGGCGGGCTACTACCTTTTAAGTTAATTTAGGCGTTAATAAACAGTTACAGAGGAATGATCATAGCGCTCTGCATCAGCAGTGCTGTGTCTCCCTGCCAGCTCCCAGATCAGCTTCTCTGATTGGTTAATGTGGCGCGTCCCGCAGCTAAAGTTAAATGTTTCCAATCCAATGTCACCAACAAATCAGCTGAATATGATACAAGAAACTGAGAGGAACCAACTTTAGGTGTCTAGAGACTCCTAGAGAGCAGTAGTACCGTAAATCATCACTAGGAGGCGAGGAACCATGCTAGCATGAGCTGTAAACGGTCATAAGGAACCAAGCTTGGCACGGTTAACTGAGCTACGGATCGGTTTCAGAGGGTAGTGTAAATGGCGCTTACACACAGCATCACAGCTCCACCTGCTTTCCTGGGACTCAAAGTTTGTTCTTCTGTTTCTCCAGTTCTGTTCTGAATCACCTGTCAGAATCCAAACTGCCCAAGGAAGAAGCTCTGCGGCTGCTGCGCATGGAAATGCAGCGCTGCCTGGGTTGTCTGAAGGCGAAGAGACAGAAGATCAATCAGCTGCAGGACGAGCTCCAACAATCTCAGGCTCGGGTCCGCGAGCTGCTGGCCGAGTTGGAGGAAGCGAAGCTCAGCTCTACAGTAAGGGACCCCCCCCCATGGATTAATGGTTTTGAAGATTACGTTTGATTAACCAGCACAGGAGCTTGTAGAGACAATCCTCCTCCCCTCTTTTTCAGATTTTGTCACAGAACAACTACTAAATTTAATGTTTTTAATGAGGCTTAATGTGACGGATAAAATCAGAGTTGCGTATAATTCTGATGCGAAACAGGAAAAAAAAAACCAGCATTGATATTTTTACCAAACAAAATCTTGAAACGTGTGGAGTGCTGTGGAATTGAATCAGTTTCTGTGTGGAATCGCTATTCAATGCAGCTACATTCAGACTGACAGTTGGTTTGATGTAATGTCTTAATGTTAATCCCTTTATTGGCTCACGATGGGGAAATTCATGGGCTGCCATTGTGTGGCACCCGGGGAGCAGTGTGCGATTAACAGTCTTTAATCAGGAACCCAGACTGGAGGCTGTGATGATTGAATTCGGATTGAACTGGGATTGAACTCTAACCACTCAGCCAGCACTCCCCGATTTGAGTGTGGGTTTGGACCGGGACATGTTGGTACCAAATCTGCTGGGGTCCTGCTTCATGCCAGTGACGTTACACTACGTGATTGGCTGAATGTTGCCACATGATTTAAAACATTGTGGTTGCCCTGACAACGATGACAACATGTGCCGAGTTGGGAGCATCTGTAGCGTTAGCGTGTCTAATGACCGATGAAGTTTTACTTGATTGATAAAAAAGCAGAAAAAAATCTGTTTCTGGTGAACAAAGTAACTGTTAGACCATGATATAAAGGGGAGAGCTGGGTAGCGCTGTAGCATGTGCTCAGTAGCTAACAGGTTAGCCTCTTTTAGCTCTGTCAGTTTGCCATATTAAGCTACACAACTTTTAAATTTGTCAACAACTGTTCGTTTTCTACAAGTAGAATAACAATTTCATTTGTCTAAAATCTCTAAAAGTCTTTTTTTTTTTTTTTAAGATGTTCCATTTGAATAGAATAGAAATAAGCTGAGACTTTTTTTGTCACCTTGTTAAATGGCAGAGCTCGGACTTAGAACGCAGTATTTTTTCTTCAAGACTGACGATGATTGTTTTCTACTTTCAGCTTCTTTAAATCGCAGATGGAATGTAAAATAATAGCAAATATTGGTAATAATATGTTGAGACTCCAAAAAAAATTTATCCTTAGAAACGGGTGCAATATAGTTTGTCCGAGTGGTGTTGCCATATGATGACGCTTAAGAAGGGGCGGGGCCACGAGCAGATCTGGTACTGTTAAATGAGGAAGTTAGGTCCCATTGAGGGCGGCTGCGCCTCAGAACTTCCCCACCGGTTCTTTTCCTGGGAGCAAGTTATTTACTACTCTTAACTCAAACTGGGTAAAAACCATGTAAAAAAGACTATAAAAACAGGAGTAAAAAAGTAACAGCGTTTATTCCAGGTCAGGTCGTTACAGGACAGAGAAAATTCTTGGAGCTTGCACATCTGTGGGCTCAAAAAACTTCAGTGAGGGTCTGGCAAAGATTGAGCCCCGAACCAGGTCCTCTCCTGCTTCTTATAGCTCATGAGTCTATGTGTTGCATCATGTGGATGCTTAGCTGTCTGTATCAGAAACTGACACGCATCCATGCCCTGACCTTTATGCATCGTGCCTCTTTACCCCAGGATTACACATGGCTCTCCTTTATCAGACCGGCTCCAAGATGCGCCCATATCCTGTGTATTTTAAAGACACGAAGGCTGTCCTGATTAGATGACCTCCGTACACACAGTGACATCCACAATGTGAAGGAAGGCCTTCTACTCTGTCTAATCTGGCTAATAAAGTAACAACGCACATGATTTATAAAGAATAAACCTAACAGTACCTTTGTTTCATCTGACAGAACACTGGGTCATTAATATGATTTTCGTGTTTTGAACCTTCAAGTCTTTAGCAGCCTTAAAGCGATTTCCTTTCCAGGATTGTCTGCGTCCTCTTAGCCACACTAGCCCCGTCTTTAGGAAAGCTTCCCCTCAGCATAATGCTGACATTGCCGTAGCTCCGAGTCAGGAGGGTTTTTGCTGTGCAGTGTTGGTGTCCCATTAGTGGCTGGGTACACAATAGAGACTGACACGGGAGTGGATTTTCACTCCTGTCCCATCCCACTCCCACAGAAAAAAATAGTTTTTTTTAGTGAAAAACTCAGAGCGGAAGCACTGTTGGTTTTTGGGTCATGCAGTTTTTTTTGACTCGCATTACAGTGTAGGCTTCAAGGAAAAAAACTACAAAATGGCGGCGCCAGTACTGGATTTCTTTCTATTT